AGTTCTTCAGCTTTTGGAGTCTTGCAATATTTTTGTTAATTGTGAAATCTCCCCCTGAGGAGAAGTTAGCTGAGGAGGATGTCCAATCTCACCCCTTTTCTTATTCAAAAGCAATTGAATTGATCCCCATTTCTTTATGGGGTTCATTTTGCTCAATCTTTAGTTTTCTATGTTGTTTTATTGACTGGCCAAGGTGTTGATTTTTACTTATGTTTTTTTTAACACCCTGTTGGTACCTACCAAATTCTATTTACTATGTACATTCTGTACAAATTCACAAATTATTGTAAATGCTGCTGCAATATTCATTAACACAAAAATGTCTTCCAAAGTTATCTTGATGTAGCAAATTAAATTATATTTAACATTCACCTCATATGAAGACTTTTTTACTACAATAATTGTCTAAAGCATCAATTTATAACTGCAAAAAGACAAAAGTTGGATAACCAAAAAAAAAACCAAAAACATTTAAATTAACCGCTCTAAAATTTTCTTCACAGGAAGATATTCTCTGATGATTTTAAAAGCAGAATTGTCATGCCTCCAGCTTTTGGCTGAATTTACCAAAAAAAAGAAAGAAAAGAAAACCTAAATTCCTAACAAATCAACAGGTCTCTTATTGCTGAATGTAGAACATATTGATTTTTTGCAATTTCTTAACCATTCAATTTTTGTAGCTTGCTGACAATCTAACTGTTTTTTAATGCTTAGCCCTATTTTCAAAACACAATTTAAAATTTAATTGTACAACATTTCTTATTCCAATCACAGTGAAAATCTGATTTCAATGAAACAGTTACAGCACTCGAAAACAAGACAAACATTCAAATCAAATTTTATAAGAAGTCTGTCAATTTCTTTCGATCTGAGACAAAAAATGGAATTGTATTTTTTTCTTCCAATTGTCAGAGAATTTTTTTTAGCATAAAATGTATACTCAGCAATAATCCAATGTAAGAATGATCAATAAGACCTTTTTAATGTACTAGACAATATGGATTTGTTGAAAGACATGTTTTATAATCGGTTGGGAAGATTGATTCCTCCATTAAAGCTGCAAATTGCTTGCCAATCCCAAACTATAGAGTCCTGTATGATATTATTAAAGTCATACTGATATAATTGGGTTAATCAAATTATGATGAATTTGGTTGAAAAGATAAGCTGTGACTGCTGTTCAAATTGTAAAATAAAATGCTTCGCTGGGCGCAGCTTGATACGACCGCAGAGGTCGAACCCTGAACAGTTGGGGCAAGTATGGACACAACATTCAAGCTTGATACAGCTCTGAATTTGGATTGTGATTAAATATTTGACACAGCATAGGTTTCTGACACAGAAAGAATGTGGTCTAAGAACTTCAATTTTTTTAATTTACCTATTATGGTCCAATGTCCAAAATCAAAATACATGGTTAGAATCAGCATATCAAAGAACCTCATATATTCAATTTTTGTTGAAATCAAACAAAGTTTAATTTTGGACCCCAACTTGGACAAACTTGAAAACTGGTCCCATAATCAAAAATCTAAACACATGTTTAGATTCAGCATATCAAAGTACCAAAAGAATTCAATTTTTGTTAAAATCAAACTAAGTTTAATTTTGGACCCTTTGGACCTTAATGTAGACAAATTTAAAAAACGGGACCCTAAATTAAAAATCTAAAAACACAGTTAGATTTGGCATATCAAAGAACCCCAATAATTCAATTTTTGATGAAATCAAACAAAGTTTAATTTTGGACCCTTTTGACCTCAATATGAACCAATTTGATAGCGGGCCCACAAATAAAAATCTAAATACATGGTAAGATTCAGCATATCAAAGAACCCCATATATTCAATTTTTGTTGAAATCAAACAAAGTTTAATTTTGGACCCCAATTTGGACCATCTTGAAAACTGGGCCAAAAATCTAAAATCTAAATACATGTTTAGATTCAGCATATCAAAGAACCCCATATATTCAATTTTTGTTGAAATCAAACAAAGTTTAATTTTGGACCCCAACTTGGACCAACTTGAAAACTGGTCCCATAATCAAAAATCTAAACACATGTTTAGATTCAGCATATCAAAGAACCCCAAAAATTCAATTTTTGTTAAAATCAAACTAAGTTTAATTTTGGACCCTTTGGACCTTAATGTAGACCAATTTGAAAAACAGGACCCAAAATTAAAAATCTAAATACACGGTTAGATTTGGCATATCAAAGAACCCCAATAATTCAATTTTTGATGAAATCAAACAAAGTTTAATTTTGGACCCTTTTGACCTCAATATGAACCAATTTGATAGCGGGCCCACAAATAAAAAATCTAAATACTTGGTAAGATTCAGCATATCAAAGAACCCCATATATTCAATTTTTGTTGAAATCAAACAAAGTTTAATTTTGGACCCCAATTTGGACCAACTTGAAAACTGGGCCAAAAATCTAAAATCTAAATACATGTTTAGATTCAGCATATCAAAGAACCCCATATATTCAATTTTTGTTGAAATCAAACAAAGTTTAATTTTGGACCCCAACTTGGACCAACTTGAAAACTGGTCCCATAATCAAAAATCTAAACACATGTTTAGATTCAGCATATCAAAGAACCCTAAGAATTCAATTTTTGTTAAAATCAAACTAAGTTTAATTTTGGACCCTTTGGACCTTAATGTAGACAAATTTAAAAAACAGGACCCAAAATTAAAAATCTAAATACACGGTTAGATTTGGCATATCAAAGAACCCCAATAATTCAATTTTTGATGAAATCAAACAAAGTTTAATTTTGGACCCTTTGGACCTCAATGTGGACCAATTTAAAAACGGGGCCCAAAATCTAAAAACTTAATACACGGTTAGATTCAGCATATTAAAGAACCCCAAGAATTCAAGAATAAAACCCCATTGAAATTGATCAAGAAATAAGCAATTTATACGAAGTATCTTCTTTTGCACAATACTGTGCAATTGAATATTTCTTGCTATTGCGCAATACTGTACAATTGACAAGTTCTTGCTATTGCGCAATATTGTGCTATTGGATATTTCTTGCTATTGCGCAATACTGTTAAATTGAAGATTTCTTGCTATTGCGCAATACTGTGCAATTGAAGATTTCTTGCTATTGTGCAATACTGTGCAATTGAAAATTTCTTGCTATTGCACAATACTTATTATATAATAATTTACACATCCTGTTTGGTGTGTATCTCCTACCATATCATTATTATTTGCTTTTAAATATAAATCAGAAATAACCAACTTAAAATGGAAAATTTTAAAAGTAAAAAAAAGGAAAAAAAGAAAAAAAAAAAAAAAAAAAATCCCCCCCCCCCAAATTTTTTGAACCCCCTTATGATTCATCACCCCCAAACTCAATCCCAGCCTTCCCTTTGTGGTATGGTACCTTGCAGTACAATTTCAGAGAGATCCATACACTTGAACACAAGTTATTGTCTGGAAACTAGAAAAATGCTTATTTTTGGCCCCTTTTTGGCCCCCAATTCCTAAACGTTTCGGGCAATTACCCCCAAACTCAATTCCAGCTTTCCCTTTGTGATATGGAACCTTGTAGTACAATTTCAGAAATATCCAAACACTTACACACAAGTTATTGTCATGAAACTAGAAAAATGCTTGTTTTTTGCCCCTTTTTTGGCCCCTAATTCCTAAAATTTTGAGGCAATTACCCCCAAAATCAATTACAGCCTTCCCTTTGTGATATGGAACCTTGTGGTACAATGTCAGAGAGATCCATACACTTACACACAAGTTATTGTCTGAAAGTTACAAAAATGCTTATTTTTGGCCCCTTTTTGGCCCCTAATTCCTTAACTGTTGGTACCATAACCCCCAAAATCAATCCCAACCTTCCTTTTGTGGTATTGAACCTTATGGTGAAATTTCATGGAGATCCATTCACTTAAACTAAAGTTAGAGTGCGAAAACCAATGTGTCTTCGGACGACGCCGGACGACGACGACGACGACGACGACAACGCCAACGTCATACCAATATACGACCAAAAAATTTTTAATTTTTGCGGTCGTATAAAAATTGCCTTCTGAAAAACCATAGTAGTGGAATGGTGTACCTCAATTCGGAAACATCTCATAACATGTACACACACTAGAACTTAAAAATCTAAGAAAAATCCCAAATGTAAAATTTTAGCCACTTTTTATTTATTATACCAAGACTTTGATGCCTCCCAGGTCCATGCAGTGATTCTAGATATAGTTGTAGTATTCCGGTAGACAAAAAAGCAGGTAGGTATCTATACATCCATGTAGGGAAGAATTCCTTCTGCGCATCTGAATCTCTATACACCTAATATGAAGAAGTCATATTACACCACCTAGTAATCATTATCAAACTAAGGACCTTCAATAGGTTAATCTTACTACAAGGAACCTTGAGACACCTACAGATAATTACTATCACATAGAAATCAGGTGTAAGTGACATAGGTAAATATCCACATCACTATAACTAACCTCTGTTATGAATATGTTTGTGTTGCCATGAACTTTTAAGATTCCATCATGAATATGACATCTTTTTGTAATAAACGTCAACAGCCATGATGGACTGTGACAGTAAAATCATATGTGTGTAGAATGTAGAAACTGGATTCAAATTTGCAGTATTGTTGTACATAAAAAGTTGATAGTTACAACTGCATATAAAGCTACGAACATGACTATAAAACCACTTCAAAACTAGTCTTGAAAGTGAATTGTATTGGTTAAGTATGAGTTTTTTTCAATTAAAAAATAAAGTTCTGAAACATTTAATAGAATAGAGAATGGAAACGGGGAAGGTGTCAAAGAGACAACCTGACCAAAGATCAGAAAACAGCCCAAGGCAACCAATGGGTCTACAACACAGTTAGACAATCCTGCCCCCAGAGGCAGGCTTCAACTAGTCACTTAAATTAAGTGGGAAAGTGGGAAAATGCATCGAAGGCATTTGACACAAACATTTTTGGTTTTACCTTTACTCTGTCCTGTTAACTTATCACGTAACACATTTAATTGAAACACTGGTCCAAACTCTTCGAACATTTTCCTTATTTCGTTCTCATCCATTGACCGTGGAATCTGACCAACAAACATTTTAATTGTATCAGGGTCTGGTTCTTCTCTATGGCCATTCTGAGTTTGTGAATTCATGATTTCTGAAAAACAAAATGAAATGTATGAAATAAGGAGGAAAGTATAATGTAACTGAGGCTTAAGAATACCTTCTTTCTCATTTTTAAAACCATACTCTAATGACTTTAAGCTACATGGTAGTACTTTAGCAGGGAGGTTAATTTTTTTTCTGAACCTCAAAAAGGTAAATTGAAAATTGATTAACAATTCTTGTTCCTTTGAAAAGGTAATAAAATCAGTTGTGTAGTACAATTTGTATGGACATTTAGCTAAAGTAGACAAATATTTTATATTTTTGACAAAGAATACATTTGCACTTTCAAAATGCAATGATTTAATTTGTCAGCTCCTTCTCTCCTTTGACCACAGTCCTTATTTTGAACTCAATAACATCTTCTCTCTTTTCCTATTCTTTTTGTTTCAAAAATGATTTTAAAACAAAAATTTCTTAGAAAAAAATTGTCCTGTTTCAGTCCTTTGTTTAGAAGGAAGTATAAGTTTACTTGAAAACAAATATGATATTTAAGGGTTATGTAACTGAAAACAAATTTTCCAATAGGAAATTATTTATCTTATAAAATGAATTCTAGACTATATGCTTGCTTGCAACTATTCTGAAATGTGAAACAGTATTTTCTTGAACTACAAATTTCCCAATTTTTCACTTCTGTTTCCCAAGTTTTTGTTTTATCATTATACTTCACACACGGAAAAGAAATGGGTTTTTTTATATTTTTTTCTCACCTAGACCTACATAATAGCTGCCTAATGTAAAATTACTTGAATTATTTATCAGCCAAATTCCACAGTAATTATTAACATTATACAAACCTAACATCTTAACCGATTTTTTTGATAGATATTCTAAGATATTCTACGGAAGCAGAAAGATAAATAATATTAAAAATTTTTGAAGAGCACCTATTAAATAGCCATTGATAAAAAATCAGCTTTAGAATCATTTCCAATTATCAGTTTATGTTCTATCTCTTAACACCTAATTATTTTGTCTGTTGAAACCATTCCTCTTTAAGCTTTTGAGGTATTTAGAATGCTGTAGATCTGTATTTGAATGGAACATTAACAGATACAACTAAAACATATCATGGCGAGGTATATTTTGTGTTACATGATCAGCCTAATTAACAAAACAGATGACTATCTTTTTACTCTTGTTAAGAGCTAAACAGATACATCTTGCATGTCTTCTAGCCCTGTTCAATCATCTCCTTTATCTAATTTCCTTATCAAATCTAATTAGAAATTTTAATGGTTTGAAGTCTAATCCAGAAACCTGGCACAGGAAGGCCTTTCTCTGTTTTAAAGTAAAATGGCATTTTTTTTAGTAAATCTGCTAAAAGGAGAGATGTCTGAACAACTTAATCATTCGTTTGAAAAGACATCATATTTTTTATATAAATATTTTAAACTAAAAGCCATTAAACTGTAATAGATCTAGCCTATTTCAGTCGCAAACTTGTGCAGACAGACTTTAACACTAGACTATTGAAAATAGTATTAATAAATCCATGGCTTCAAACATGCGAATATTTGGTCGAAATACTTTGGTCGAAATACGAAACCAGAAAAAAATTCTTTTAGATCAATATGACAAGAACATATATATATATACAGTTGTCTACAACTTCTATTGGCTTCAACTGTTTTTAATATTTTTGATATTTTGAATACTCTTTGAGGATTCATGTATGATTAGCACATCAACAGTATCCATTATCACTGAATCAAGCTTCCAATGCTTTCATCTTTAAATTTTTTTTCAAATTTCTGTAAGCAGTAAGCCTCTGGAAGCAATAGTTTCAGGTACAAAATATATCTAAATAGTAAAATTTCTCTACTCCAGTGATATTAAATTCATAACAAAAAAAATGTTGTATACAGTGTTTGATCAGAAAAAGAAGTTTGATTTGTCATGTAAGCAACATTACAATGCCAAACCAGTAAAAAATCATCAAAATGTAATTTCCATAAGGACATTTCCCCCCTTTTTTTACAATTGAATTTGAACTTATTTAAATTCATGAAATTAAGATGTCTTTTTTCTCTTGTTTAAAAAAACATGTAACAATTTAAAGTATAAAATAAACATGTTTATATTTTATACCAGAACCAAAGCACAAAAAAACCCAGTCTTCTGCCTATGTTGGAACTGGAGAGAGTATGTCTATGAAAGATTTCATCTTTTAATTTCTCAGCTGAACCGAAGCATTTTGATTTGAAACAAGCTTCTGAAAATCACTATGGTCATATTGACTTTACAGGAACTTAATATGGTACACAAGTAGAATAAGGAAGGACCTAATTGAAACTCTCATGATTTCTGATAAAACAGTTGTATTTATCATAGAAAAAAGACGATTTTATTGTGAACATGTGGGTGCTCTCAGTGACTTCCTGCTTAACAAGATATTTACTAACGTACAAGATTTTATCTTTGAAATCCTGATGTTAAATCTGTAGTCATTGCATAATTCCTTCTACCCAGAAAAATACACTGCAAGAGGAAATAATATAGCAACAAAGTTTTTCAATATGATAAATGAAAGAAGCTGACAAACAAAAATTCTGTAAATATTATCTAGCTAGTACATGTATGACTGTGTGAATAAGGGAGAAAAATATGAGTTTTAACCAAATATGGTACCCAGACTGACTCCAATTTTCAAGAGCAGACCCTAACTTTTTTCCACTGAAAATTGAGCAAATTATATTTTCACCGCTATTGTTCTTGACAGTGATGTTCTTTATGTACAACTGCTAGCTTTATGCTGAAAAGTATTGTGTAAATCTGAGTAAAAAAATATCCGACTGAAAAAAACAACTTCTACAAAAAGCTGCTAACCAGAAATATAGGTAAATGCAATACTGGATCCGATTCTGGAACCAGACGCTTTTTTCTGGTTTGTCTATAAAATAAAAAAGTTTTGTAGACCTACCGACCTTATTTTTTTCTCTCCAAAAGGTGGCAGTAAACAGAATTTTTTTTTTTTTGGGGGGGGGGGGGGGGGGGGGGGGGGTAAAAGGCAGAAAAGGCAAATTACTGTAATAGAATGATTTTTACTGTAATTTTGGGAGAGGGGCACAATTCAAAGGCTTAGTTTTGAGGAATATTTTTGTATATTTGTATTAAACAAATTTATAGGGTGGACATTTTGAAGCATAAAAAGTATGGTAGGTAAAGATTTGATTTGATTTTTGGTGTTTTAACGCCACTTTTAAGCACCACTTTTGGGCTATTTCCTGGCGGCCAGTTTTTATTGGTGGAGGAAGCCGGAGTGCCCGGAGAAAACCACCAACCTTCGATAGGAAAACTGACAATCCTAGTTGCTAGGTAAAGAAACCCTAAACTAGTTAGGGAAAATCCTCATAAATGGTCTAAAAAAGGAGGTTATTATCTTACCATGTCAAAATTTTTAGTTCAAATTTTTGGATAACGGCTGACCAGACACACATGATGATGTAAAAGACACCCCCCCCCCTTTTCCAAATTATGACATAAATTGAAATTTTGTTCACCATTGATATTTTTTAAATAAACTTCTTTGAGGAAAAAAATTGACACTTTATACATAAAATATCTGCACCATGACAGTCATTATAATCAAAATTATAAATTTTGTTTATAATATGGTATTAAACCAATGGGGATAATTCCCAACTATGAGGATCATCACTTACCTGCTAAACACAACTATATTTTATTTTGGCCTTACAATAAAAAATACTGCAACTGTTTTATTTTTAAAATCAAAAACCAAGGATGTAATGCTAAAGGTCATTAGGAAACATCTCAATCATTTCAAGCTTCAATGAAATCACCTGACATCTAATAGACTATCATACAGAAAGTGCAATATGGCCAGGCCACTGTAACCTTACTGTAAATCTGATGAATAAAAGGACGATTTTTTTTTAAAAAGAGTGAATGGTGCAAATCGTTGATTTTCAATACATGTAACCAGATAAGAATGGACCTAGCCATTGGATTTAAAAGACCTTAGGGCAATATAATAAGAAAGAACCGTTGTATGAAGAATATTTGTTTATCCCATAGTGTTATATCTAACAAATTCTCATATTTCTACACAATAATATATAATATCTCCCTATGCGTCTTTTCAATATACTGTGTATTTAAAGTTCGATATAACGATAAATATTCATTGTACAAATTGGTATTCTTTAATATATCTTAATTCTTTGTATCTTTAACAAATGTTTTATCAAATTAACTAACTGAAAAGCTAAACCCATACCACAAATGAATTACTCATGATCAATGAACCTAAAAGATTTAACGGAGTTACCCTACTATTCTAAATGTAGAAGGCTCTCATACAATCTATTAAATCACAACACTGGTTTCACAGGTTTCTGTTCCAACATTTGTAACTAGATAACTACATTTTGTACTTTGAAAAAATATCTATTTAAAATTATATAATTTTCATTTAATTATCTGCCCGTTTACTGAAATATCAACCTTTTGTAAATGAATAGTAAATATATTACAAGTAACAAGGTCTTTCTGGAGTTAAAATCCAACCTTTTTGGATTCATTTTGGGACTTTATATTAGTCAACTAAATGTTTAATATTGATATTTTTGAAAGTACTGAAGTCAGTAAATTCTTATTTTAACTACTGCTTCTTTCAAAGCCACCTTTCGCCTGCTAAAGTTGTTATTGTAACGGACAATATTAAATGCAACAAATTTATTGTTTTTATCTATGGTATGAAATAATTCACAAGGTATCAGGTTTGAAACAAGAAGAAATTCTAGGTAAAAATAGACTGATTTTGAAAGGATAATAGTTTTATAGACCTAATTCTTTTGGAATTTACTAATAAATCCAAACTATATATGCAAGGGCGCTTAAACTGTGCAATGAAATTTGCAAGGGTTAAAGTAGTAGAACTTCTGAATGGGCACATTCACTTATATTAGATTTTGTAAAACTTTCACTACTGTAATAAGAGCACTCATACACTGTAATTTCATTATTATAGTGCTAAGTAAAATGGTTTATTTACACTTCAACATAGGTTATTGTGTTATTTTATTATGTTTTATTCATAGGTGTGCTAAATATACCATGTGGATTATGCCAATGTATGTCAATGTCAATTTCTATAAATTATATTACATATTCAGAACATATGCAATATGATCAAACTGCATATTGTAAATAAAAAATAGGGGATGAAATAAAATACAGTGTTTATATAATTATAAGGAAAAGCATTTGCATATTATAGGCTTCTATAATTAACATAAAATAAATTACTCAGTATAGTAATAGTTATTCTTAATATCTGTGATATGAATAAAACAACAATAATTTGTGACAATGAGTGAGAACAACCCATTATATATGTCATAACCTGGCAGAAATAAATGTCAAATTGATTGTCTCTCACCTGGGAAGGCAATACACAAAATACAATACACCAAGGAATACTACATGTGTCAAGTTCCAAATAACTTCGAAATTGATAGATTTGGACATCTACTAACAGTTCATTGAAGAAAAATACGTGAAAAAAATAAGATCATAGCACGTGGTTTTAAACCTCATTGTTTTCATTCTATGTAGAAAGGTGTGCAGACGAATTTAAATAAAACTAACTTTCCTTCTTATGAAATTATGCGTTCATATAAATATTTTATGTAAAAATTAAAATTTTTAAATTAGCAAAAATTATTTGTTTCATTTTGCTACTAAACATAAGTTTCAATTCATAAAATCGTGACCGAAAAACTGCGGGAAAATTTCTAAATAGTGAAAGCGCGATGACATTCACTTCAGAAAATCAATGTGGAAAAGAAAGCCACTGTCAGTTAAATTGCAAAATTCGTTCGGACTTAAAAATCAAAATACCCTTCATTAATTGTGTCAATTATTTCATAAATAAACAATAAACTTACCTATTTCCACGTGAAAACACACACAGACAAGACAGTACAAACACACAACAAAATGGCGGACTGCAATACCCACAATCCAACTAATCCTATAAACAGTAGCGAACACGTGGGGGAGATTTTACCTTGCGACTAATCACCTTTTCTGTTACGGTAGCGGATATTATTGATTGTCAAAAATGATTATTAATATACAAAGGCACTCCTAATATCTTTATTGGCTAACGGCATCGATTTCATTGTTTCTTGGCGATCAAGAAATCCCTGCAATTATCTGGAGCTATTAAATGATCCAAAATCTATACATTAATAATAGGTGAAAAGATAGCGAATACATGCTACGGAAGCAGATTATTGAATTTAATTAGAATCAATATTTTAGAGATCTGTATATTTAATTTTTCTCCGTTTCAAATAAAAAAGTTATTTATTAAGAATTTCGGGAACTTCATGCCAGGCGTGTTCGATTAATATTGCAGAACAGAAGTGTTTTATAAACGGAAAATTCTTTGACTAAAAGAAAAAAATCAGAATCACTTCTTGTAGTTATAGAAATACTTTGAAGAACTTAGAGGTAGAACAAATGGTGATAACCTTTCCCCCATTTTCTTTTATATTTAAAATAGGGGACGCGGACGTCAATGAAATCCACCCTGATGTAGAATCTGGTTATTAAAAAAGTATGTACTGTCTGGGACTAATACATTATCTATTAGTCCCAGGTAAGTCCCAGGTACAATACTAACTATAGGTAATTTGTTAGTGACGTCTTGATTAAAGGTGCAAGCTCTGAAGTTAAAAAAGACCAACCAGCAATTATAGCTATAAAGAACCGCCATATGGTTTTCCTAATGCGTGTCAAATATGTGAGTTAACATCAGATTCGAGACAATTTTCTACATCGTATAGCATTATATGAATACATATTACTGCATGCTCAGATTTAAAAAAAAACAAATTTCTATAGCAAAAATTATCAAAAGTTTGCCAGTGGAAATAAAACAACTTATAAAACAAAATGGAGTCTCACAAGCCTAAAATGTCATTTATTTTTTTCTGAATGAAGTTCTTCTAAGTAGAACTTTAATGTAAATGGATTATATTCCTTTACCAAAAACTGCCATCTGCAGTCTTTCCAAGATAGCAAAAAACAGACTGAATCCAATGGGATATAATCACCTGTTTGGATTCAAAGTGGATATAAACAAGGACATATATAATGATATCATAAGTCACTGATGTAAATTAAAATTGTAAAAATATATATTTTTAGTCATATGATATTTAGAAGTGTTGAACGAGGCACTTTAAAACATGTATTAGTGAAAAATGAGTGGCAGGGTATGCATAAACGAAACAGCAATCCAAACATAGAATTCAAACGACTATATAGAATTCAGTATAAGGTTTTTAAAAATAAACAAGCGTTTATACAATGTTTTTTTTTTATATTCGCTCAAATTCTATATACAAAAGTTGTAAATGCAAATGTATATTTAACAGCTACTATCAAAAAAATTTCATTTTTTTAAAATATTATGATCGATCAAAAATTAAGGAAGCAACACATATTTCAACCTTCTTATATATGTAATCGACAATGTATGGAGAAATTAACTTGTACCTTACCCTTCCGGAGCACCTAGAATCACCACCGGTTTTTGATGAGGTTCGTGTAGCTCAGTCTTTATAGTTTTCTATGTTATGTTTTTTTTTAATTATATATACTTTTATTTGTCCTTTAGTCTTTTTTCTTTCTTTTTTTGACATTGCGTTGTCTGTTTGTTTTCGACTTATGAGTTTGAATGTCCCTTTGGTATCCTTGACCTCTCTTTTGTAAAACTATGTGCATACGCTTTCTTTATATGATACATGACACGGAAGAATTGTGCTGAAGAACTATTAATTCCAGAGGGAACCATCCGCAGTTACTAGTGCTTGTATAAATGTTACATTTTGTTTGTCCAGTTCATGAAATTACGTATTGTTCTTTTAACTAAACACCAAACGCCAATTTGTTTTTTATGTTTTAAGTTTTTGATACTTTATAGTTTTTGCTTCCCAAACTTTGATTACTCTTGTACCTGATGAAGGATATTCTATATAAACACGTGTTGTGTGCACAGGTATCATATCTTTTATATTTAAGTCAAACGCCTGCCATCGTAAACTCAATGTGGCCTAAGCGTGGACTTAAAATGAGGGGGGGGGGGCGGGCTTCTAAAAGTGAAAAATCTTTTTAATCGTCTATTGTATAATCTGCTAATAATCTAGGAGCAAGTCGTTGTCTTCTTCCATTTTTCATAGTTTTGACACCCCGCACTTTTGTGAACGACAGTGACTCATATAGAATTGCGAACTTCTGCAACGAATATCAAGATGATGATTTATGTGATAAACACATTTTAGTTGGTTTTACAGTTTACATCAAGGGACCGTGGTCTGAGTCAACACTTTCCTCTGTACAGCGATATATTAAAAATAGACGTCGAGAACTGACGGGTCGGTTCATCACATTTTGTTTTCAGTGTATTGCTATCGTTTGTTATTCAATTTCTGATTGACGACATGTTTACTTGATGATAGTTTTTTTAACTAAAAATTTGACATTTCCGTGGGAACAAACTGTGCTACTCTTCTCTTCGTTCAGTTCCTGTTCGTATGAAGTAAACTTCCTGCAAGAACTTTTCAGGAATTTGAAATAAAAAGGAGTTTAGTCCAAGATATGTAAATGAGATTATTTCACTGAAAATTTTAAAGTTGGTTAATATATTGATATCATATCTTATTGAATTTGAGATAAAGTATTCAGTTCTGTACCCTCAGTTTCATATTCCTTGATTTATAGTTAGAAATTAAAAAGCTGTAGTATTAAAAGACTTGAATGTTGGTTGCTTAACGTCCAGTGGCAAATATTTCATGCATGTTCAGGACGAGTAGTATAAAAAGAAAACTATAAAAAGAAAACTTTACAAAAAAGAGGTATCTTCGATTTTTCCCGTATTGAACTTTCATCCATATGTGACAGCATCATAACAACACATGCGCATGGAGCATGATCTCTTAAGTTGATAAGATATTCCCTGCAGAGTTTGTATTTTCTTACAATGCTCCCTGCATGAAGAGTCTGTTGCTCATTGTTGAAGGCCATACGGAAACAATAGCTGCTAACGTCTACGTCCTTTGGTTTCTGGTGGAGAGTTGTCTCATTGCCAATTAATGCCATATATATCATCTTATTTTTATATCTATGTCAGTTTTTTTCTTACTGTTGCTCTGTCGTAAGTTTTCTTGTAATGGTTTGTGAATTTTAGATTTGTTTGTCTTCTCTTTTGGCCTTGGTGATGTCTATTCTTCTTCGATTTATGGTTTTCGATATTAGCGAATATAACTTTTTGTTTTTTATTATGGCTACTTTGTGTGAAGGAACTCATTTTGTGAGGGCCTAATTTTGTATCTATAGAACATGATTATTTCAAATTTAAAAAAAATGTAGTTATATATGTAGGACTCGGAACCGCGATGGTACTCCGAACTGGTCACGCTGAAATGCGATGGTTTGACGCTGAAGTGCGTTTTTGATCACGCTGAAGTGCGATGGTGGCATTGTGGCGCTATCTTGTTTGTAACTACGCCGAAGTGCGATGGTGCATGGTTACGCTGAAGTGCGATGGATTACATAAACTATATTTTCGATGTCGATGAAAAAGTAAAATTTGTTTGTTAAAAGCAGCTTTTCATGTTTATTAAGTAAATCATCAAGAATATTAACCCGTTTAATTAATCACAGTCATGATAAATATTTCCAGTCCTAATTGTCACGTTGAAGTTTACTTTGGACAAAAATAAGCCAACGTTCATACAATTATTCAAGACGCTACATACAAAGGTTATTTTCTACTGATAAAAACCAGTGATAATTTCAATGACTAAAAATGCGATAGTTGTTTAAAATGCAATATAATAAGGGCCTTATAAACTTATCACCGTCAGTGGTTTTTATATACTGCAACTGGAGAAAATATGGAATGTTTTGGCATACTAGTATTCGACATGAATACAACGTGTAAACAGATTTTAATACTACCGGTCAAGGGAAATAATTAGTAGACAGGGGACATTCAGATAATTTAGATCCTTTTTCGAAATCTACAGAAGTTTCGTTTTTTTACGTACTATGGAGCTTCGAATTCTCTTACTACATATGGGTCCGCTGAGAGACTTTCCGTATTATGATATTACGGTAAACGTGGAACTCATGAGAGCTGAGGGCTGAGATAACGTTAAGATAAACTGTTAAAGCAGAATAATGTCCCCATGCAGCAAATTTAAAGAGAACGATCTTTCATTTGGTATGAAACTGTAACCAATGACATTTATAGACCATCGCACTTCAGCGATCAGACCATCGCACTTCTGCGAAGACCATCGCACTTCAGCGTGACCATCGCACATCAGCGTCCCCATTGTACCTCCGAGTCCTACATATATACGTATTTTGGGCAACCAAACACACGCTCTGGGACAAACTATAGACCGTAAATTTACAAATTTATATCGGAAATTGGGCTTAGGGAAATCTAGAGGCGACATTTTTTTTTATTTCATTGATTTTTGCCAACTTATGATTGATTGAACTGGCAACCAAAATGAGCCTTTAAGAAAAGAATATGTTAAGGTTGAACATTTTATATTTTCATCATGTGATATATAACTATTTACACAATTCAGTATGAATATAAAGGGAATGTTGAATATATGACGAGAAGTCAGCTAAACAAAAACAATGAGGGTTAATCGCACACAAACATGTTTAACCCCGCCACATTCTTTATGTGCCTGTACCAAGCCAGGAGCGTGTAGTTCAGTGGTTGTTGTTTGGTTCATGTCTGTCATATTTGTTTTACGTAAATTGTTTGGTTATAAATTAGGCCGTTATATAGTTTTCTCAATTGAATTGTTTCATATTTTTCATGTCGGGGCCTTTTATAGCCGACTATACGGTATGGGTTTTTCTCATTGTTGAAGGCCGTACGGTTGCCTATAATTGTTTACCTTCACTTCATTTGAACTTTGGTGGATAGTTGTCTCATTGGCAATCATACTACATCTCCTTATTTTTATAATGAAACCAAAAAGGCGTC